TACCACAAATTACTAAGTTAATATTTTCATAATCGATAAAACTGAGAACTAGTATATACAAAGTTGGTAAAGTGGATAATATCAGTTCCAATCGGTACAGTAGGATGTCAAGAAAATAATACAATCATACATTACGTATGATTTTGGATTTATTACATCACATCTAAGATATATGTATCTTTTTGTAANTACCACAAATTACTAAGTTAATATTTTCATAATCGATAAAACTGAGAACTAGTATATACAAAGTTGGTAAAGTGGATAATATCAGTTCCAATCGGTACAGTAGGATGTCAAGAAAATAATACAATCATACATTACGTATGATTTTGGATTTATTACATCACATCTAAGATATATGTATCTTTTTGTAAAATAAAATATTCATTCAGTTTATAAAAGTTTATATACAGTAAAATTATTTTTCTTACGCCTTCTTTACGTCTATGTTTTATAAGAAGTAGTGTAATAAAGTAAAAATAGTAGTTTTTCTTCGAATTATGTCGGCAAAGTAATATCTGGTTGTTTTTGTAACTTTAATAACAGTGAACAGGCCCCAGTTCCAGAATTACAAGGTTGGCCTAACATTAAACGACTAGAAGGAGACACCAAATAATCTTGTTTTCCTGAAAATATTCATATATATTGAATAATTTATATAATTACTTTGTTATTTGTAGAACATATTTATACATAAATATTTAATTACTTTACCTTGTAATGTGGCATATTTTAAGAAATTGAGAGAACTTTCAAAGCTAATTTGTTGCAAAGGAGATGCAGAATCTTCCATTCCTTTTCGGCTAAGAGGTTGAAATCTACCATCAAATGTCATGTAGTCTGCAATTAGTGACAAATGACGTGGATCAACTGTGATACCATACACTTTGAATACATCTTTCACTTCTTTAATAATAACTCTATTAGCTGCTTCAATACCGTAAGTTTGAGAAATACCATAAATGTCATTAGAATATAATCTATTTAAATCTAATGCAATGTCATATTTAAACATTTCCTGTAACATAAAAAGGTATAGTTAAAAAGAGCTATAAAATGGTGGTACGTGAATAATATGAAACTCTTTTTACTTACGATTATATTTATACCATCCGTTTTGAGAACAGTATCACCATTGTTATTCTGAAATGTAAAAGCACGTTTTATACATGGTACTTCCCAAAAAACGACTCTGTTTGCAACATTTCTAATGATTGTTGGTAAGTCCAATTTCACCATTTGGAGAGGTAGCTAAAAAATATAACACTAAATAAAATAATATATATGAACATAGCTACACAAGAAACCTAAAAGTATATTCATTATTTACCCAAAATGTTAATTTACACCATGAATATTCATCTTCATCATAGTCATATTGTTCTACATGATGATACATGTTTACAACATCTTTCCTTCTTTGTGTATTGTACATTTCACTTGCAGCACATCCTGACTTTTCATTCTCGATGTCTTCATCGTCATCTATATTTTGCTGTTCTTGTACAGGTCTCGATTTCTCATTGTCATTTTCAACAGTAGTATCATCTTCCCTTTCGTTTATATCATCCATTTCATCTTCTTCCGGGTCTTCATATTCTTGATTTTCTCTATGTCGAGAAATTGATCGAGACAAGGTCGCGTCTGCGTCTTCCGCTGCTTCATCCTCATCCGAAGATTCATGCATTTCCCCTAAACGTCTTCGTGATGTCATCGAAGACTCTGTTCTTTCATCTGGTTCACCTTCATCTAACAAAGTATCATCGCGCGTAGACTTCTTTTCCTCTTCAATATGTAACAAAGCCCCCGTTACTTTGGCAACTTTCTTAATTTCTTTAAACAGTTCCTTAAAAAATATTTCTTCTGTCTTTTTCAGTATCTCATATGGTTGCATGCAAAATTCTCCTTTGTAGGACTTGTATGGAAAATAATTTATGGTCATAGTGTATAGCAATCTTCTATTTGGCCAGTGTTCCAGTTTCCTACTTATTGTAATATCATTTAATACATTTGACAAAATACACTTGTTCAAGTTTACTCGTAGTTTATTAGCTTGCTTTGTTACATTTTTCAAATTCTTTTTAAAAGGTATTTCCATGCTAGGTGTTTTAATATTTTTAGATGCCATCATAAGTATTTCACGTAATCTTGGTATACCCAAAGTGACGTTCATTTCACCACGACCAGCAAAGTGGAATGTGTTTAATGTCATCTGAGTTGATGGTTCTCCAATTGACTGTGCTGCTAATAAACCTACTGGTTCACCAGGTGGACAAACAATCTTCATTACTTTCATTGACATGAGATCTCTTAAATCACTTTTTCTTATATGGGTATTTACAGATTTATTAGTAATGTATTCGTCTATTAAATTTTCTATTTGTTCAGGAAGCACACCAAAGTCTATGTCTTGTCTATAGAGTGACGTTACAGGATCAGGACATCTGTTACATTGCGCATAAAAAGCATTTTTTTCCTCATACGAGGCTCTTACCCATTTTCTCATCAGTGAAAGTGTAGCTTTACTTCTTCCGCTGTTTTCATCGAGTTGCTCATACTTTGATGTCTTAATTTTCATATCTTGTTTTGAAAATTTTGCAAAAGCACTAATTCTTCTCTTTTGCAATGCTTTTCCATGTTTACTTTCCCATTTTTTAATTTTCTTTACCAATTTTAAAATTTTGCTAATATCAGAATCTTCTTTCAAACTTTTAACCACTTCCTCGTTAACAATAGCATTTCTATTATCAACTAAAAAGTCAATTAGCTCTTTTCTTAAAAATCTTGAGCCTAATATATCAAGTCCATCCTCTCCATAATAAATTTGTACTAAACTGCCATCTGAATCGCGTACTGTTGAATCATAGTTAATAACCAATCCTTCAAGATGTTTAATAAGACATCGTTGCAGATATCCTGATCTACTAGTTTTCACGGCTGTATCAATGAGACCTTCGCGACCTGCCATACAGTGAAAGAAAAATTCTTGCGGTTGTATGCCTGTCATAAAACGACCATCAATGAAACCTCCTGCTCTTGGTGTTGGATCGTAAGCAGGAAAACTTGGAAGACTTTTTCCACTTATCATTAAAGGTGGTCTTTTTCCTTCCAATTCAATTTGCCCCAACAAACACGATATCTGCATAGTATTTACGGTTGAACCTTTAGCACCAGATTGCACCATTAATTGTAAATTATTATCTGGAAACTTCTTCAAAAGACCAGCTGGTAAACATGTTTTATTTATATCATTAGTACAAATGTCTAATGCAGTTTTGTATTTTCTGTCAACCTGCGTGCGAAATTTTGGATTACTCCAATAAGACTCCTCCATTTTTGCTGTAACCATATCCATTGGAGTATCCTCTGGTACTTCTAGCACAGATCTTTGAATATCTTCTCCGATCTGTCTACACCTGGAAATGATTTCTTTACGCTTTGTGTCTGCTTTCATTACCAGTAAAATATCTTCGATGCCAAGTGTGAATCCGTTTCTTTGTAAAGCAGCCTGGAACAATTTACCAAAGGCACTCAACAAGTTTGTAGAGCATATTCCACCATACAGCTCGTACACGCAATGTATGAGACCAAATGAAGTAGCACCATAATGTGTTTTATCCAGTATACCGCATAATAATTCTCCATTTCGTATAATTACTTCCGCTTCTGACATCGTTTTTGGATCAGAAAATTCAACACCACATTTCCAAGATCGGGGTTTTGTAGTTTGCCACTCTTTTGCATTAATTTTGGCATTTGATACTAGGTTAATCCGTGCTTGATTCGATGGAATGATATTGATAATAACAGTGGATACAATTTGTTTTCCAGACCACAACGGTACAGGTTTTATAATACTAGGCGGAAGAAGAAGGATGTTTTCTTGAATTGTTGATAAGGCAGCATAAACTAATTGCATGTAATCTTGCTTAGTGAAGAATGTTCCTCTTACTGTTAAGCGTACACCAGAAACCATGTGATCTTGAATAAGACCACTTAATGGAGTACCATCCTTTGGTACAAGATATTGATTAGGCACACTTGCTATGTTGTACCCTTCGCTTCTAGCAAGTTCATTTTGAGGAAAATGTGCATTCATTTCGTCACCATCAAAGTCGGCATTATATGCCTTACAATTAGCGTAATGAAGACGCAACGTTTTCTCTCCTTTTAGAATGCGCGCTTTATGAGCCATTATACTAGGTTTGTGCAAAGTTGGTTGACGATTGAGCAATAAAATATCTCCATTCTGTAAATGCCTATGTATAATTTTAATACCCCTGAAGAACTTGTTCGCTTTGTCACTAGTCGTTAACAATCGTTTTGCAGTTGCTTCTCTCTGAGTAGCATTGGTAGAAGAGATTCGTTGTATACTTCCATCTTCATTTTCAATCATTACTGCTCCTGGATAAACTTCAGGTCCATTTAAAACTAATTGCCGTAGATATACAACATTCCAAGGTGTAACAGGAGTTGGATACGTTAATTTCATTGCAAAAATTTCGGGAATTCCGATTTCATCTATATTTAAGTTAGGGTCGGGTGTAACAACTGAACGAGCAGCATAGTTGACTCGTTTACCCATCATGTGCATTCTAATAACTCCTTCCTTCTTTTCTATAATTTGTTTGAGTCCTTGACAGTTAGCAGAATCCACTGTTCTGTTCATATCGCGATCCATTAAATGATCCACATTTATTTGCAAACTTTGCCAACCATTGTGCAATTTTTCTATTGCTGTGTCACCTTTTATTTGTTCGAAAACAAGCCTGCCCTCTTCTGGCAACTGATTTGTATCTCCATCTTGAATTGTTTGAATAATATTTCTAAGAACCAAGCAGTCTTGGATAATACTTTTGTAGACTTGAGTTTGCGGATGTTCTACCATTTGACCATCAACAAAATTGACTGGTCGAACAATAGGTGGTAAAACTGGTACTATTTCAAAGAAAAATATATCGGTTGGATATTCGATGTCTACCATTCCAAAACAGGGAATAATTACTTTAAGAAAATCTTTTTCATTTTGCCAGAGACTTCTAAGATATTCTTTAGATTGATTTGGCATTATCATTACCGTATTCAGTTTATGAATTGTTTCATTTGACTGTGCAGTAGTATCATCTATCATTTTAACAGTCATAATTTTATTCTTCAAATTTGTAACTTTTGGTATAATTTCTTTACAATATTTGCACGTTTTTGGTGTCAAATATTGCTTCAGTATATTTTCAACATATACATGCCATTGTGTATTGATATTCTTTGTGTTAAATTGCATTTTATCGTGCTGCACAATGGACTGACTAAATCTGGATCGATTAACAAGTCTCTCTATGTATGTATCAATAATATCTTGTATTAGTACCACATCAATGTCATAAGGGTTGTTAGAATCTGCAACAAGAAACATTACTTCCTGCTCCAACCCTTCCAATTCACTGATGTATCCTTCTTGAAGTAACTTCATTTTTGCTTGCAATAGTAACTTTACATATGGTGGAATCTGTAGAACAAAGCATTTTAAACAGGATAGCTTGATCAGCATACATAATCCTTTATGGAATAAAGGATTCACAACAGGTACTGGCAATTCTATGTGACCAAAATGACCTGGACATTTTATTACATTACATCCACACGTTGCACATGGATCAGAACTTTCTATAAGTGGACCTAAAAATAAACAGACTTAATTTTCTGCTTCTGAAAATCCTACATGATTCTTTTATACTGCTATTAACAATTTAATGGCTAATAACACAGTATTAATATTAACCCCTTGATTTACGATTTAAGTTATGATTTAAGTTATGACGTCACGATGGGTCATGTCACAATCAATAGTTTAATCATCATGTCATAGTTAATAGTTTCTATATTTGTCTAAATTCCATATCATGAATCTCTCTAAATATTGTAAGTCAAAGGATTAAAAGCCCAACGTGTTAACATTATTTATAGTCATCTATATTGTTTGATCCAAATAACTTACCTAATGATGGATCATATAGTCCACCTTTCAATGGATGTCCCAATATATTGAATGATAAAGGTGTCCTTATTTTAGTAACACTTAAATTTCGTATGTCATTTGCAGTGAACATAGAAAACATTAAGCAGTTTGGATCCAAATGTTTTGGAGTTAACCGTGATGCTCGATATTTAATTTGAGCCATTTTGGTAAACCTTTTTCTACTCTTATTTCAATACCTAAAAAAAAACTATATACTTTAGAAATCTTTTAATTAATCAAATTGTATTATTTCAAGCAGCATAATATATATTTTTTATTGATGTTAATAAAATATGATATTCATACCATTCAGTGTAATGTTCATGTAAAAAAACTGGTGTATACAGATAGCTTCTAGAAGTAATTGTACAGCTTTTTGATAATTGAATTAATATCTTACATTATAATAATAAATTTGATAGAAATTCTAAACAATTGAGGTTATGCCACATGGTGGTATGTAGCCACATGTATTGTAGATGTGGTGTGTATCAATGTATGCGTACATAGTAGATAGCACGTGTGTCAACAACTCGACAGTCGACGTCGATAACGACGATAGCAACGATAGCGACAGTATCGACTCGACTAAATCCAATCAATTCTCGACGAATCGAAAATCGATATGTAGCAACATCGATGTTGTGTGGGAAATAATGTGAGAGAGGGAGAGAATGTATTTGTATTGTATGTATGTATGTATGTATTTGTCTGGAATGTCATAAAAACAAATCTATATACAATACGTAAATATTTGAAAAAATTCTAAACGTGAAACGTGGTTTCACAAGGTTAAATTAATATTACATACGTTTCATGTTCTTGCTATAATATATCAGTTTATTAAAGATATTGATTCATACGTACAACACGTAAATAATCGACGACATTTATTAATATATGTATACATATACATTCCAATGCCTATATGGGTATCTTATTTAACGTTTACTGGACAGTGTGTCTTTGCAAAGCTATTAATTAGTGTGGGTACAGTTTTAAACAAAATTAAAGCCGAGACATCAAAATGTTGACTCCACGATTTGAAATAACTCAAACTGACACTGAAGTTTCAATCATTATTTATGCACCATATGCCAATATTAAAGATACGGAAGTTTATGTGGAGAAAACGGATTTCAGATTTTATTCTGCACCATATTATTTAAGGTAAACTATCAATGAAAAGTAGATACATGTTGTTGTTCTACAAGATATTATATTTCAGGTTAATTCTACCAGGTGAAATAGAGGAGAATGATTCTTCTTTTGGATCATATGATTGTGAGAAGGGAGATTTTTCTTTAAGATTTTCAAAAGTACATAAAGGAGAACATTTTGAAAATTTAGATATGATAACTACTTTACTAGCACCAGCAAAGAAGAAGACCAATATTATGCCCAACATTGAAGTAATTGGTAAATATAACCACATAGATGTATATTTAATTACAATTATTTTAGTGCTAATTCTATGTTTCCTTCATCCTAGGAAATCCCTCAGCAAATTCAGAAGACATTAATGACTCATCCATTGAAAATGATTCCATAGTTAATGATAGTGGAAATGGGGATGAATGGTATATGGACCAAAATGTTCCTACAAGCACTATACCTCCTTTGACTACTTCTCCAAAATATGGTTTCGCAAATAAAGTTTCTGGAGCTTTGGCAGCTTTTGAGGTATGTAGTTTAAAATATATGTTTTATATAAAAATCAATTAAAATGTATATACATATTTTTATTATATCTTTTAATTACAGTCAGCATGGATTAAAGAAATAGTAGATCTTCCATCGCCTGATACCATACCCGAATCTGAAAGGAAAAGCTTACGAGAGAAGACTGAACATTCAGACTTTAATAATGAACACTACTTAGCAGATTTAATGCAACCAGAGTATACAGAAGTGTACATAAAGTATACTCCAGAGTGGGACACACTTGAAAAAGAACATGTTGTGCTAAATGACATAGAAGTGGATATACTAAAGGAACTCCCGAACAAAGAATATCTGTTAACCCATGAAGAAACATATAAATTGCTTTTAAGTTTAGTTGATATTTTATTTGGTAGTTGTTATAATCATAGAACTACTTTAGGAGATAATACAGTCGAAAGTAGTTGGACCATTAATAAACTGAGTTCTACTTTGTCTTGGTTTGAAGTATGTAATATTTTACAATTGGTATTATTATTATATTTTTGTTACAATATCTCATACAACTGATACATTTTTAGGACTTTCCTGATGGAGAAGAAGTTATAAGAGCATGTTTTAGAAGATCATTATGTTACCCTCTTTTTAGGAACTGGGAACTTTCTCTGAAAGTTCTGGAAGATGTTAAGAAGGTTATTAAATTGGGTAAGCAAGTCCTACTTAACATTAATTGTTTAGTTATTTATGTTATTTAGTTTTTAATATGTCCTTTTATCAGGTAAAAAATATATTATAAAACGCTTTTGCGAAATACACAGTCTGTTCAACAATTCATGCGAGCCACGGTATATATTGAATCAGTTATACATAAAGGATTATTTAGTGTGGCTACAAAAAATTAACGAATCTTCAATAGAATCTCTGAATTCGCTAATAGCCAATGTAAGTATAAACATGTATAACATAATTTCTACTTAACGAAATATTAAAAACCGTATATTCACCCTAAGATTGAACCAAGCAAGGAAGATATGGGTTTCGACTTAGTGGAACTAGAGCATGCAGCTTATTCAGTTCAAGAGGAAGATCTGATTATAGAAAATTCTGTTCATGAAATAGTGGACCAAATGGATGACTTAGTAATTAATGGCAACGTACAGGATAAGTAAGTATAACAAATCAAACTGTCTCCATATTTTTCAAATTTAAGGTTTCATTGGAAGGTGTTATTATGTCTTTATTTTGTGTGATTTTATTTTAAAGGCCAAAGACTATATACTACATTAAAGACAAACATTCTTTAAAGTATTTGTAAGTATTTCAACGGGACTGTTTAGAATATCGATAACTCTTATCTAACATGGCTTAATTGTGTACACCTTAATAGACAAACAAACATGTGTAAACTCTTTCCAAAATGTGCTAGTATAATGTACTAACTGAATCGCACTATCCCTTGATCAATTTTGTAAATATCAATTAAGATATACATTTATTATCAGTGGTACACAGCAATAACAATCTGCCATTATGTTTGCACACTAAGCATGGCCACAAACGCACAATAAAGAATGATTTGAAGTACAGTTTACTGACATGAATTAACATGATGTTAATGTTTTATACAGATTATCGAGCAGTTCAAGTTCAAGCGACAGCAGCGATACAGATTCAGACAGCGATTCGGACAGTAGTACTTCCAGTACATCTACTACAAGCCACAGTACTTTAGATTCCGACGATGCAAGCGAACCCGAGTAAATATGCAAGTGTCGCGTTCAATGTTTGAATTTTGGTCATTCAACTGCCTTTATCTGGATAAAGGCAAATGCATTTTTACGTCTTTATCTGGATAAAGTCATAATACCAGGAAACTTGCAAGTGACCATTTTGGAAATACTTTCGTTTACTTAACTGTATTGTACCATACGTGTCCAAAAACTGTACATACGCGACTTATACTATTTGCAAGATCCACAATATGGTTCCGTGTTTACAACCAGCTTTCTATAAACTTACAATATACATAAACTTAACAATAGCCGTGTGTATGTGTAAGCTAGATTCTCCTGCCTATTTTACAACAGTGTAATAGTTATTAATGGAGCGAACATGTACAATATATAACAGTAGCCTTTCCGTAATATACATTTATTAAATAAATATGATTTATTTGTTAAAGAATATAACGAATCCACGGCACTAATTTATTATAATGTTCAATCAATCTACGTTGTACAAACTCTTCTGAATCTTCATCAACCTTCATTTTCATACTCGCATCTGTTGCATCGTCATCACTGGATTGAACCAGTGTACCATCATCACTATCGATAGTATCATCAATTTTAGTCTCGGCTCCTTCCATCTAAAAGGATATTCGTAGAAATACAAAATTACACTTTGTAATGAACCTCTTTAAAATGATTACCGTATCATCGTCAAGCTCCAAGAGCTCTGTATTCTCGTCTTGGTTATTAAACTCATCGTCTTCGGTTGTTCTCCAATAGTATGCTATTTCCCCGTATACTCCTGGGCTCTCATTCGGACTACTCGCTAATTTACTCCTTGAATTCGTGTTCACTTTCGGCTTGAAATTTTTGATATGTAAAGATAATGAAATCTGTTCGGAAAGTTTTACGATAGTTAAATGAATGTTACCTCTTGTTCGTAAATTCCACTCATACTATGGAAATGGTCATGGTAATCAGGACTTCCTGATTTCAGAATTAAATGCGTGTACTCCTTCGACGTCTGATTTTCTTGATGAACATGTGGCGCGTACAAAATGATGCGTAAAGGCAGATCCTGATTATCTTTTATTTGCGATTTCGCGCTTTTAACACCCGCACGGTCCTTTATGTTTTCAAGCTCTTCTGGAAGTTTCCTCGTATCAATGGGCGTACTGATAATGGTAAACAATAAATTGTCGCTAGTCTTGACTGTTTGTTCTTTTAGAGAATCGCTACCTTGCGTTTCTCTGTAATCTTCCGTCGTCTTGAGGTCCGAGACCGTAGGCAAAATTTCAGTTTGTCCTTGTCCCGAGGAGACTTCTGTGGTTGGTTCTATTTTATCATCGACGAAGGAATCATTATCTTTCGCATTGTTATTTTGCAGTAGATTTTCTGCGGACACCGTACCTGTCTGATCTATTTTCGAAGGTGGCGTATCCGTTATCGTGACTAGAGAAGCTGCAGTTTCTTTAATATCTAGATTCGTGTTAGTAGAGTATAGAATACTTGTATTTTCATGTTTCTCTTCCGCATTTGCTTCCTTCGAAAGCAATGTTAAATTTTCAGGAAATAGTTCGGGAAAATTTAACTTTAAGTTATGAGGAGTTTGTTCTATATAAGGATCAGGACTCTTCTCTGCTGCTTCTGCGTTCTCGAACAGATATTTTTCGTATTCTACTGTGTTATAGACTGGTGATGGTTGTTCCTGGTTATTATACATAATAGATGAATTTTCTGTAGTTTTTATTGAATAATATGTTTTTTAAATTTACGATTATGCTTACGTTACAAGGGCCGCAAGGATATTCTTTGTACGTAGAAAGAATAGCCGCTTTAACATAAGGGAAATATAGTATACTCCAAGGTATTATCACTTGATATGTTAGTTTACCACATCTGCAACAACAGAAGCGTGTATATCGTGTATATTATCGTACTATTAAGGTTAAAACGAATGATATTTCCTAATCTCGCGATTGAAGACATGTTTCCTCATTAATTAATTATGAAACAATAGTGTAAGAATGAAACATCCGAGCAATCAGGAAAACGGACATCAATTGTAAATTATAATGTACAATAAACAATTTATTCACTAATGTTTATGTGACTAAAGATTTAGATATAAATTCTCGGAAGATCCAACGCAACATTACGATCTTTAAAATGAATTGACCAGACGATCAATTAATTTCGTACACGCACAATGCATCGCGATACTCGCGTATCTCTTCAGCTTCAGATGAAAAGTATATTTAGCCACTGGAAGACTATTTATAGATTCTTTCTTTTTAATAGCTGCGGTGTATTCGACAAAAATGTTCCGAATAATTTTATTATTGAATTTGTATAATTGTCGAGTATTGTTTAATTAAAATCGTTCTCGTCAAATTAAAAAACGCTGCACTCACCGATCGAGAACAACCACTTCATCCCTCGAGGCGCGGAAATGATGCCAGATACCTAACTCGGGCGTATCCCGGAGAAAAACGATGCCTTTTCCCTTGTTTTTTTCCTGATCGTTGGGCTGCGTTTCCTCGACACCCCAGATATATTCCTGACCGACCATATTCTTTGATATCTCTTTCCATGTTCTTATCTCTATATTATTCTCCACACTGTTTTCCGGCAAGTTCGACGACGGCGCCACAACGAAGAACAAAATGTCCAAAAAGCCAGACCGCTCTAATCGTTTCTTCAGTAACTCCAACCTTTCACAGAATGACTTTAAAACATTTCATTTCGAAGCACTTCGTTATCATAATAAAACATGAAAAGGACAACGTGCTCGTTTGATAATTCCTTTCCAAATTTTATACACGCGATCAGCTTCATCTTAATTTAGTTGCGGCTTATCGAATCAATCAAATTTTACAATGTTCTGCGTAAACAATTTTTTTATTAAACGATTCAGTTCTTCCTGGGAATACAATACAAAGAATCAAAGATAACACCTTTCTACAGGCAGTTTCTTAGCGTTTCTTTTAAAAGCGATCAGTAGATTCCTTCAAAAAATTGTCCAAAAGCGAATGCAGTTTCCTGCATAATCGAATGAATTGCAAACAACACGAAAGATTGTCGAGTTTGATCGTCGTACAGCTTGATCGTTAATAGATTTTCGTTAGATAAAGTGTTACGTATTCGCAAGGGTCTGAGAAAAAATTAGTTGTTAACGGCTATTTGGACGACTCACATGACTGCCTGCCTATAGCTGTAATTCCAGGAAGGATCTAAGAAAGCGAAGACATTCACGTATCCCAATTGCGCCTTCCATACGTTCGTGGCGCGACATTGTTCCGCGTATCCGAGATCTCCTTGCGAACCCCCTCGATAGTCCTCCTCTTCAGCGGAGCTGCCGAAAACCAGCGCGACCACCAGCAGAAGTGTTAACATCGACATAACGTTTACACTTATGCGACTATGCCTCCTCTGCTCAGCAACAATACGCACAAAACGAAACGACAAACAGAAACCGCGGAAGCAATTCGAAATCAAAGCGAAACCAAGTTCGAGTGTCACTCGTTAAATTTGTTCAACCAGCAGCTCGATTTTCATGGATTCAGCTCATTTGCCAGCAAAATTTCTTCAGACACTGCTGTTTGATACACAAACACGCGGCGATTGTCCACGAGATTTACGATTAGGTAACTGGGCAGACTCTTCCCTCGCCGTCGAGGTGAAAATTTGAAAATCTCTAGAAAAATCCCGCGAGTCGAACGACCCTCGCGTCCGACGAGAAAATCAATTTGAACGGGTCCGATTCATTCGTGAATAAAATTCGAATCCGTTTAAATAGTCACTCCGATTTGAAATACACCCACGATAAATTGTTAACGACGTCGGTTATCTGTCTCCGCGAGATAAACCGGTTGAGAAAGCAAGAATGAATCAGACGATCGGCCGCTGTAGATCGTGGATGGCCGACGTGCACGCGTGGTTTGCCGATATCCGAGCAGAAGAATCAATTTACGTCGGATTGATGAGATATGTATGCGGGTCACACGGGGACTGCAGCGTTTTTCTGACCTCGCATGCTGGTTTGCTCCTCTCCTGCTACTGTTACTGCTGCTGCTGCTGCTGTTGCTGCTGTCGTAGCAGACTACCGTTCAACATCCCTCCTACACGTGACATGAACACGACACCCTTCCTCGTATACTGTCGTCGACACGTTGGTGGTTCATGCGACGCCTCGTTTATATGACGTTCCATCATGGTGTCTTATTTTAGAATCCGAATTATTGATTTGCAGCGTGTGAAACGCGTGGAAGAACGGGCCCGCGAAATCGCGCATCGATCCGATCGATCTAGGCACGCTTTACCAATCCCTAGAAACATCTTAATCGATACTTTATCATTAGACCGTGGTATCTTCGTTCGGAATAAAAATGATTTGCACCGATCGCAAGCTGCAGAAATCGAATAGACATTGTTCCCTTTCGTTGGTAATTTGAACACGTTGAGAACGATACAACGGTAGTCTTAGTTGATTCAAAGATTACCGGAGAGCATCGTGCAATTGTCAGTAAGATTTGTCAGCTGCGAGAGAACACGTTCGATCTGTCCGATGGGAAACCTCGTCAGCAAAATTCTGATTTATCGCTAAGAGACTCGTGATGTGCCGGCCGTTTCAATTTCATTTCCTCATAGATCGGACATTCGTCGAGATCAGTCGATGAAAATGAACACGTGTGCAGACAGTATAAATGGAACAGAGAGTCCCTTGTTCTGAACTTTTCAATGCTCGGCTACTGGCCGGATGCTCGTTTGCGAAGCAGTAGCATTTTGTCTCGATCTATCGACACTCTCCCATGTGTCATTCGAAGCAGTGCCTCCTTACAAGCTGACTTATAACAGTAACGAATTCCGACGATTTCGATGATTTGTTCGCCCGTGTATCGTGGAACGATAATGCCAAAAGTCTTTCGAACTCTGTCGAAACAAGTGAATCGTTAAAACTTCGTTGGGAATTCTCGTTGCGCCAATCATGCTTCGTAGACACGTCGATCCTTGATTAACTACATAGTATGTTAAGTGTTTAATGGGGAACTGTATCCGATATTTCAGTGAGCATACTTATCGCTATGACAATTATGCAGAAGCATTACAGAATTCGATGCTGTCGATATCTGTTCGATCAAGACGACCATAGAAAGCAATCAATGATATGTGTAAACGTCGCCGCAGGAGGATTGAGCTCTGTTACCCTCCGACTCTGAACTGTTGTGTTAAATCGGCGAGATCGCCCTCCGTGTAATATGCCCTGACAGTATCGAGCAACAAATGTGAATTGCAAAGATGACCGATCCCATTGCGAGCAAGTGGATATTGATCGGATTATTATCAATTCCGTTCGTCCTGATCGTGTCTTCCGATCGAATCGACACGGGGTTGCACGTAGGAGTCGAAGAGGACAAAGCGACCTCGATGTTCTACGATTATTACAAAGACATAAGTGAAAACGAGAGCACGGAGAACACGGAGAAACCGTTCAAAAACAAGCCCGACACTTTGTCGCGTCTTTTCAAAATGAACATCGATCGATTGAAGAATCAAACGGATCAGGCGAGTACTATACTCTCTCGATCCGTAATTCGTCCACGCAGAATCGCCGGTATCTCGCAGATGGTTAATCCAGCGAAACGTCTTTCAGATGGAATTAATTTTCCTGGTCGACGCGTCGGGTTCCGTCGGCTTGAAGAACTTCCAATGCGAGCTGAACTTCGTGAAGAACCTTCTGTCGGACTTCATCGTGGGGCCCACGGCTACCAGAGCCGCGATCGTAACGTTCGGCGGAAGACGAAACATCAGGCGCAACGTCGATCAAATATCTCGTGCCGGCGACAACGATCACAAGTGCTATTTATTAAACAAACAATTAAGCAACGTTAATTACACCGGCGGCGGGACATACACGCGCGGCGCTCTCATCGAGGCCATCGTAAGCACTTTTCAATTCTTCAGCCATTCTATCATGCAATTTCTCATTTCGAGCGACGAATTTGTGCAAGTAAAGCTTGGCGAAATTGTGACTGGAAACTTTCTTGTTATTACTTTTCTTAATATACACGGTTCCTTTAATTTTACTCAGACTGCGCGCAGAAATGGACAATTTGGGAAGAGGAGATACGATTACTCGAGCCTTGCGGCTTGTTTTTATAGTTACCGATTGTTAACAACTATAAAAACGAGCCGATTAAAACAAAAAGACTCGAATAATAGTACCTCCTCTTCCCGAATTGTCCATTTTTGTGCACAATCTGAGCGTCAATTAGGCAGAACTTACTGTATTTAGATCAATTGTGTAGCCGCGCGTTTCTTCGAATTGTGTTTTACACGTTCTTGGGTCTATTGTTCTAAAATGCCTGCCGTCATTCGGTGTTAGAGGATCCTCGAGAAAGCCAGGCAGACCGCGAAGAAAGCAGTGTTCCTTATCACCGACGGCTTCAGCAATGGCGGCGACCCACGACCCGCCGCGAATCTTCTGAAAAGTGCAGGTGCGACGATATTCTCTTTCGGGATTCGAACTGGCAACGTTCAAGAGCTCCAAGATATAGCCAGCTTTCCCGGATACTCGCACAGCTACTTCCTCGATAGTTTCGCAGAGTTCGAGGCTTTTGCGCGACGCGCTTTGCATCGCGGTAAGTTCGACGCGCCTCGCTGAACTTAGCGTTGTAAGACAAACGCCGCATCTCGATTTCGTAGAAATTTCAATTTTCGTAGAATATCTAAGATCTCAACTATCGAAGCTTAAAGATGATTCGTACACTTCGGTCGGCCGCGCAATGGTCTGTTGTGCATACTTTCGTCTTTCAGATTTGAGAACGGGGAAATACGAGCCAGTGACGTTATCGGACAATTGCAACATCTTGTGCGGCAACATCAGCGAAACCGGAAACGATCAGAGCTGCTGCGATAATTTCGCGACGTGCTCCTGCGGTATCGCGACCGGGCATTATGCTTGCATTTGCCCGACCGGGTACTTTGGCTCGGGTTTCAAAGGATCCTGTCAACGTGAGTTCAACAAACATCCAATCCAGCGATCTCAGCGGAATTGAAATGTTTATTATACTAAGTTCTCGTTGCATTCGCTTTCCCAAGCGTGCCCGAATGGCACCTACGCCTTGGAAGAGATTTCCGGCGATTCAACGTCCACCTGCGTACCTTGTCCTGACGTGAACCACGTGACTGTTAAAGTACCAGCAACTTCGTTGGAAGATTGCGTTTGTGCGTCAGGATTCATCACCGACGGAAACAAGTGCGAAGGTAATTTATTTATTTCGCGTTTCTTCAACTACCAAATGAATCCTTTACCAGGCGCGAGACGTGGCATACCACCAGGCAAACGTATTATATCTTTAAGGGGATCAGGAAATTCCGGCACGTACGGCCCGTACTTTTCGAGGCGGAATTTTGTTTTCGATGCGAGCCAACCGTACTGTAAAGTAAATAGATTTGTTTTTGGATCGTCGTTGAATTGTTCAATTACTTAATTTAACCCTTTGCACTCGAGTGTCGACTCTACGGCGCCATTAAAAACTACTATATCGCATATAAAATCGTATATAAAATCTGTTTTTTCTGTAACTATTGCGTGAGCCGCAAAATGCAGTTTCAAACGTATAAAGTGTATTAAGCTATATAAAATGGAAATACTATGGGTCGAAGAAACTATTTTGAATTTCGAGTTAAAATGTCTCCGACTGCAAAGGGTTAATTCTCACCTCGGCGCTCGTGGTCACCGGAAACGGCAAGCACGTTTTCCCTTCTTCCCGAACAAATTTTTCGGTATCGATGATCGCGTGCTTCTCTTCGCACAGTTTCGACATTTCTTTCTCCAATTTCCTGCATGTTTAATCGTCAGTGTTATTTTTTTATTCGTACGCGAAATTTATTTACGATACTTACCCATATTCGTCCAACAACCATTCGTACGTATCCAACCATTTCATTTGCAACAGCCTTTCTTTAATTATCGCCTCGGTTAAGTTCCTTGAAGTGGAGACGAAGTCGTGCGGTTTATTCGAGCGTGGATCCATTGTCGCGTTTGATAAAAATACTATAAAATTATTTAAATGTCATAAAATTGACGAGATCAATTTCGGTTCGTTCGGAATGAAGTTTGGAAGCGTACTGGCTACTGACGCAAGAAAGCTGATAACTTCTCCGTATTAAGGCACAATCTCAGTCTCGATCGATTGTTCGTGCAAACGATTGAAGTATTACCTTGAAGTCGTAACAGCAAGATGACTTTAAACTGTTTGACCGAAATTGCGATAACTTCGCGAGATTATAATTCTCACAATTTTGTGAAGACTTTTTATGGTACTTCGCAGTGATCACGTGTCCCAGATTGAAGATCCCCGAGAATGGATATCTGGTTAAAGCGAGCGCGTGCAATAACGTGGTGCATGCAGCTTGTGGCATAAGATGCAGAATCGGTTTCTACCTAACAGGCGATAGTATTCGACTCTGCAGCAAAGATGGTAATTGGTCTGGAAACGAGCCGAAATGTTTACGTGAGTTTATCAAGTAATTAGGTTACGAATATATTGCTGGATGCTTGGAAATCTCTCTCGCATTCTTCTGAGACAGTGAAAACATGTCCGGCACTTCGAGCACCCTCGCACGGTCGAGTGCGGTGCCAGAACGAAGATGATCAACAGTTGATCACAGAGGGCGATACAGCATTCCCGATCGACACTCGTTGCCAATTTCGATGCGACAATGGCTATCAGCTTCGCGGGAGCAAGCTTCGTAATTGTTTGCCTTTGTCGCAATGGGATGGCCTCAAGGCAACGTGTAAAGGTAAAGTTTTGTTGTTGGCCTTGGCTTAGCATTTTCTAGACTGGGAATACTGGAAATACTGCATGCAATGAAATAAATTATTTTAGATAGACGTGCAAAGAACAACAAATTCTCCCTAATTCGCGCACAGATTGTGCATCAAAATGGACAATTTGGAAAGAGGAGATACGATTATTCGAACCTCGTGGTTCGTTTCTATAGTTACCGATTGTAAAAATAACTATAGAAACGTATCATAATAAATAACTATACAATATAAACAACTGTAAATAATCGCACGAATTAGTGAGAATTAACTATAGAAACGTATAATAACAAATAACTATACAATATAAACAACTGTAAATAATCGCGCGAATTAGGGAGAATTTACTGCATTGCTTTTGAAAATAATAAAACCGCGTTATCCTTTGCATTGGTCGGTATCAGCTAATTCAATGATTTCGTTAAGCGAGAGATTAATAAACAAGAAAATGTTAAACAATCGAATCGTGCATCGTTTGCACTTGAATCTGTTTGTTCATTCCATTCATTTTCAGGGATAAAATGCGAGCCTCTGAAGCGAATACCGCATGGGAAGATCTCACCCGAAATTTGTTCCGGGCCGGAGAAGGTACCGTTCGCCACAAATTGCACAATTACGTGCAAGAAAGGTTTCGTACTCGATGGTCCGCGTGCAAGAATGTGCGGAGGACGCTCCGGAGTCTGGACGCAACGACGCAGCGTTAACCGCTGCATAGGTTGTTACAAAATTCCAAAGATCTGTTGTTTCGAAGGATAATGAAATTTTGCAATTTGTCGCAGTCAGTTTCCTGATTTTTTAAAATAATTTTTCTTTGTCAGACAAAGTACCACCCACGATAACGTGTCCACCGGACGTCGTCGTTGAAAGTTTGCCGGGGAAAAATTATGCACACGTAAATTGGACGAGCCCTGTGGTCACTGACAACGCGGACGATTCACCGACGGTTTGGAGCAAACCGTACGTTACGATGCCTTGGAAAGCAAAAATCGGTTCGCGTACTGTCGTTTACATGGCGCAGGACTCAACCGGGAATAAAGCTAGATGCAAATTCAAAGTCAAAGTTCTCGGTATAATTCCAAGACTTAGTTCAATCGATAATATACAAAATAATAATAATTATAATAAATAATAATAATTAATTAAATAATAAATAATAATAATTAATTTAATAATAAATAATAATAATTATAATAAAATAATAATAATAATAATTGTCGATTGTTTTAGACACCGAGCCGCCGATGATCGAGAACTGTGTAGATCCACCGATACTTTTCACTGATAACGGGATCGGGATAAGCAACGTGACTTGGGATGAACCCGGTTTTTACGATAACTCGAAAACACCGGTACGAGTGGAACAAAATCATCGTCCTGGCGAAAGCACATTCCCGATTGGACTTACGACAGTCGTGTACAACGCGATCGATAAGTATGATAACGTGGCGAGTTGTGCGTTGAACATCACTATAAAAGGTACCCAGCTGAAGTAATTATTCATTCGTGAATCGATCTTGATCTTACACTTAGTAAATTAGCCGGTTATTATCTCTTCGATTCACTTGCGAAGTTTTCAATTTCCAAAAAAACTCGATGCATACCTCGTGTAACGTATATTCTGTTGTTTATAGATGTATGTCAAGAAATTCCGCAAGTGTTGCACGGATATTCAAATTGTTCGACGTTGGAGAATAAGACAGACGAGTGCGCTCTGGTTTGCGACGATGGGTTCCAGTTCGCTAACGAACTTCCAAATCTTCGTGCCGTGGAAGATGTATTGTTATTAAAGTGCAATACAAGTAACATGAATTGGACCGAAGAAAATTATATTTACGACTGTTCTGGTATGCTAGAAATATCTATAAAATTCGAACGAACAAAGAATATTGAATACATATAGGGATTCGCAGTAATAATTGAAGACAATTGTATCTATACACAGAATCAACTGCGCCGAAGACCGTATCTCAAGAAGGAAGCATCGTCTTAGAAGGGAATGCAACGTGCGACAATCGAACGACCCTGCGCGAAGTAAGCATACATTCTTCGTTCTCGTCGACTTCTGAATTAGAGATCCTGTTAAATACTTGATTATTATCTGAATTAGTTGAGCGAGTACATCACGGCCGATCTAAGATCGACGTTGCTCAACATTTGTGGCAATGACGTCGAATGCAATCTGATCACCTTCGATCCTGAGTGCAAGGCGGACGCCGAATTAGCGGAAGACCTCTATTCCAACTCGTTAAGGAAACGGAGGGACTCAAATTCTAACATCTTTGCATTCGAATTGTTTTTCAACGAAGACCCTGCGTACGATGTCGATGATAAAACGAAGAAGAACGTTAAAAGGAACGAGGATTCTAGTAGAAACAAATCAAGGGCGATGAAAAGGAAAGAAAAAATCGAAATAAAGTTCAAAATTCTCGGTAAACAAATACTGAAATATTCTTGCGAGAAAATTTCTGTTTGTTTTATACGGGAATCCATTTTGCGCAGGAAAAATCGTCGAGGAAAACGTGAACAATCCGAGAGAAGGAATAAAAAAGTTGAGGCATAAGATGGAGTCAATGTTGCAGTTCGGGAAACTGAATTTGTTGGACGAGAAGACTAATCGACAGATCGCCGAACTTGCGTTGAACCTACATGTCGTTTTCAAAAATTTCGAAGAGCTTTGCGAGCCAGGAAGCGTTCTCAAAAAGCACTCTTGCGGTAGATAAATTCATCAATTTTGTTACATCTTCATCTGTCAATGTTTTATCAATCTTTCCTCGAACCTAGTGAAATGTCCGTTGGGAACTTTCTTCGACGCGTCGGCTCATCGATGTCGACCGTGTCCTTTCGGCGAATACGAAGATACTACCGGCTCCTTAAAATGCAAACGGTGTCCTGAACAGACGTCCACGAAGAGAATGCATTCGAGATCTATGCGTGATTGCATACGTAAATGAAAATACGCTGGTTTTAGGAACATTTAGAGTTTCGATTATTTCTTTTACAGTAACATTATTTGTTCTTTCACAGCTTTGTGTCGGCCAGGATATTACTCCCGAAAGAAACGATACCACGGTATCCGTATAGCTCTCGAGCCTTGCCTAAAATGCGACATTGGATCTTACCAGTCGGACTATGGACAAAATCATTGTCTGTCTTGTCCATCCAATACTACCACAGAAAATCGTGGTTCCAGGGATGTAAACGATTGCTTGCCACTGTATAAAATTGACGCAAATACTTGCCAATTTGGATCATGCTTGAACGGTGCACAGTGCGTGCAAGAAGACAACGACTTCAGTTGCGAGTGTCTCGATTATTATGTCGGTCAGCAATTTTCTTATGCCTTTTGCTACAATTAAATGAAATTTTGTTTACCATGCTGATTTGATAAACAAATATTACCAGGATCAAAATGCGAGATGTTCCGAAATCCATGCGACTCTTCGCCATGTTTGCACGGCGCAACTTGTAACATTCATAATCTCGCGAACAGCGCAGTAAATTATAGTTGCTCGTGCGAGAATGGTTACACGGGGCATAACTGCGAAGTAAGTGCGATATTCTCTAATACATTAGTAGAATGTGATAAATAATATTCATGTTTCTAGCTTCGCATCGACGAGTGCGCTCTGAACACCTGCCGAAACAATGGCAGTTGCGTTAGCACGGAAAACGATTATAACTGCGAATGCAAGGATGGTTTTGAAGGTATTTTGACGAATCATGAATAATACGCCTTCTTAATTGCCAGGTATTCGATCAGAACGTTTTCATTCTTTCTAACGAAGCGTTTCAATTCTCAGGAGAATTTTGTGAAATTCTCATGGATCGCTGCGATCCTCCGCCATGCTTGGAGGGATCTACCTGTCGCACTGTTAATGAAACCTGGCAATGCATTTGTAAGCCTGGTTTCCTCGGGCGTCATTGCAATTTGTTGCCTTGCGACTGGTTGCCTTGTCAAGGGAATTCCTACTGCGTGAATATTGAAGAGGAAAATGCAACACGGTCGAGCTACAGGTGTGTAAAAGTAAATTGGTAATTACTTGAGAAAGTAGACATACATATTTTGATAATTGATGTTGGTTAACTAGGATTAACCGATTACTATCAATTAGATGAACTTAACTGTGTCGTTAATGGTACTTTATTGTTAGATGCCAATGTAACGATGGTTATACCGGAGAAAATTGCACAACAAGAATAGATCACTGCGGTAGCCTTCCATGTCGAAATAATGGAACATGTTCGAATGGAATTTACAATTACACGTGCACCTGTCCTATCCCGTTCACAGGAGGCAATTGCGAGACTGGAAAGTATAGTCTTGATGAACATCTTGCTGTTTTGTTTATCAGACTTGAACAAATGTTTCATATAATATTTTTCTTTATTTATAGAATTGCCATCCGATTATGTCGTGCATTTTACTAAATCAGGGACCACTGACTACGTCAGAATGAACGGTCCGGCAGTTAATATCGCCGAGGTAACTAATGAAATGGCTTAATGATAAACTAAATAAATCACATACATATATAAACTTTTAGTTAACGGCATGCTTGTGGTTGCAATCGAAGGACACATTTAATTATGGAACTGTACTCTCGTACGCAACGCGTTATTATGACAACACGTTCACATTAACCGATTACAACGGGTAACAAAAACGTTATTGTAAAAAGAAGTATGACAGTTTGTAAAGTATACCACATGATAAATGATATTGTTCTATTATAGACTCGTTATATACATCAATGGGCAGAAAGTAGTCACCGATATCAAGGTGAACGATGGTCATTGGCATTTCGTTTGCATTACCTGGGAAGGCGAAAATGGCATCTGGAATGTATTTATCGACGGACTTTTGCGAGATAATGGATCTCGTTTAGCCAAAAATACTGTTATTCAAGGTGATAATATATCTTATGGCAACAAGGAAATAGAGTATATTTTTAAATCATTAATCGCGTAGACCAGTGCTCGGAATGTTGCGTTTCAAAGCATTCCGAACACTGGCGTGTAATAATTCCTCTAGCTCTTATAAAGTGATTCCTTGTTCTCAATGATTTATTAAATTCACGAATAATCGAACGAAGCACTCAATATTCTTTTATAATAAGGCAATGGTACTCTCGTGATCGGGCAAGAGCAAGATCGAGTCGGGGGTGGATTCTCCGAATCAGAATCCTTCCTGGGAAAAGTAACTTTGCTAGATATTTGGAACAGAATTTTATCAGCGGCAGAAGTAAAACATTTATTCAACACCTGTGACAAATATTATGGTAACATGATCGCGTGGCCGCAGGTGCAAGTGCACGCACACGGCGACATCGCGGTAATTATTACACTAAATTTTCTTACACTAAACAATTCCGATTCGGATGAAGAGACTTTTGATTGAAAAAACATATTTCTCAGATACTGGGCAGCTCGTTCTGCCGCGGATGTCCTTTGCCAGTCGTTCCGTTTAAAGGGAGTATAAATGTCAGTGAAGATTTGTCGGAGATCACTTACCACTGCGATCTCGGTTACGCGGTGCGATTTCGGGGAAAGGAGCATCGATCGTTGAAAATGAAATGTCTGAAACAAGGACATTGGGAAGGCTACTATAGCCCTGTCTGCGCTAGTAAGATCAAACATAAATTGAGGACAATGATTAGACCAGTTCGATCAAATTACGGAGGACCATTAACTATTTACATTTTCTAGTATTATAGAAGTATTGTTCATCCTTCATGGCAATAAGTTTGTTCTTCGTTTCAGGGAAAAGGTGTGGCTTCCCAGGATATTTTCCTCGAGGTCGCATACACGGTAAATCGTATTTCTTCGGGAACGAGATACATTATTCTTGTTTGAGCGGGTATCAGCTTCTAGGAAATCCTCGTAGAATCTGTAATGCTGAAGGAAAATGGACTGGCGTGGCTCCTGTTTGCATAGGTGAACGAATCATTTGTTTTTGTGCAATAATATATCTTGTATTATACATTAACTTCTACCACAGGAAGAACGTGTAAGAATTTACTGGCTCCAGAACACGGTGACATCGAGTACGTGAGAGAGGAATACGAGAGAGACGATCTGTCGATTCTTCAGGTATGAATCGCAGAAATGCATTGATTGGTAAAAGCTTTTAACGAAATTTTGTTCCAGGTGGGTCAGCAACTGGAGTTTAAATGTGATACGGGATATCATTTAGTTGGCGAGAAGTTCTTGACGTGCTTAGAGTCGGGATTATGGGATCATGAGAGACCAACGTGTGAAATTTACGGATGTCCATCGCCAAAGGAGTGAGTTAAACAAGAATAATAATAAACATAAAGTGATCTGTCATCAACATATATGTAATCTCACATTCTCACGACGATTTGTCTAATTAATTTATTGGTTCTAGCCGGAATTTTTATCGCATTGAAGATAACCGTTCATTTCAGTTTATTCAATTTCTGTTTACAGAATCGATCACGGTTACATAATTTTTACCAATTCCAATAATCTACACGAGACTTCTACCATAAGCTTGGATGCGAAGACGTTTAATAAAACTATCGAAAGAAATTATTATTTCGATGATATTGTTGGATACTCTTGTCATGCGGGATACAAATTTCAGAGACAACATAATTTATTGACTGAATTTAAACTTCGATGTACGGAAAATGGTACTTGGAGTGGATTCGTTCCTGATTGTGTGCCGCTTAAATGTTCCTGGCCTGGTACCATAGATAATGGCAAAATATTTTTAAAAACGCAAAATGATACTGTCGAGTTCTTAAAAGCTGTAGTACCAAATACTACAAAGGAGGATACGACATTAAAAGAAAATAGTGATCTGGAAGATCAGTTAGTTGTTGGCTCACAAATTTTGATAAAATGTGATACAGGATACAAATTAATTGGAGACAACATTGGGACATGCATGAACAATGAAAAATGGTCATTGACGTTACCGTCTTGTAAGCCTACTGAATGTTCTATCCCAGAGTGTCCACTTTTTAAATATCTTTATAGAGAAATAGGTGACAATAATCATACTAATATCTGGAGGAATAATATTAGGGAACAGAATGTGTATTTTAATGGGACCTATAAAAACTTAGAATACTTTGTAAAAGGTCATAGTTATAAAGATCAAATAGTTCTTGCTTGTAAGAATAACAATGAAATCAAGATAACCGATGGTAATGGTAATATACATGTTTCCAATTTAACGTGGTCTTGTAGTAAGAATGGTACTTGGCAAATCGATTATTTAAAATTAAATAGTGACATAAACGAAAATTTATTTGACAACGGATTAGTTGATATCTGCCAAGAAACGATTTGTCCTTTAGTTACAGTAAGTATTCTATATGACTATTTTGATAAGCAATTTAAAGAATAGCGAGATCCAAATAAAAATTTGCAATAGATTCCAGAATATGGATACATTGTTGGAAATAGTAATAATTATTCAAGAATTGTTAACAGTAGCATTATGTTCAAATGTCGTCATGGTTATATACTTGAAGGCAATGGAGAATCTGTCTGTTTTCCAAACAGCACATGGTCATCAGTTCCTTCTTGTAAACGTAAGAATAAAACCTATAGCATCAACTTAATTGGTACATTATCAAGAAAGTATTATATGTTGTAGCTGTAGTATGTGGGAAGCCACCAAAACTTATAAATATGGTGTTAAAAGAAGACAGTATTGAAACAGTAAGTTTCATATTTGGCAACATGATTACATATCAGTGTCTACCTGGATACTTAATGTTTGGCCAACCGAATGCACGATGTCTCGCAAGTGGAAATTGGTCCAAAGTGTACGGTACATGTTCAAGTAAGTATCTCCACATAGAAAGTATATTTTATCAACTTTTTAAAATTAATTTATACTTGTAGAGCTATCATGTAATAAACCAAAACTTCCACCCGGTGTCACTGTACATGGTCGTTCATATTTATATCAAGATCAGTTGACGTATGTGTGTCCTAACAGCAGGAAACAGGGATTGATAACGTGTAAAGCAGACGGTCAATGGAGTGATCCACCAAACTGCAATGATCATTGACAAGGGAAATTTCTAGCATAATTAAAATAAATCATTGTAATAAATTTATGTGACAGTTTTTTATTCAATGTCAAAATTATCAGATCTTCAATTTTTATATTTTTTTTGTTCAACACTCCATAAGTGTGTTTTCACCAAATAATATTTTAATACTGTACAAGAGATACATTTATCAATAAAAAATTGCAATGTTATTCTTAGAATATTTTATGCACTTATGCATATGTCTTTGTAACACAGTGGAACCTGATTCTTTCAAATACAAAATTGTTAATCAATATATAATACTGAGCATTCCGTAGACTCTTAATTTTAAAGTCTTTAATGTACTCCATAATGAACTGAAACTTTTTACTGATATAAAAACGATAATGTATTATGATATATAATCGTTGATCATATGTATTTAAAATTTTTGAATTTTGTAAACCTTGAGTGCAATGAGAAAGAAG